AAACTTATAGTTACATTTATATGACAATTTAAGAATCACTAGTAAGGTGCCTGTGTATACTTGTTCAGTATTAAAACTTTTAAATGTGGACCGTAAAATGATGAAGTGAATTGATAATTTAGATTTTACCAATATTCATGTAATTAAACTGGTTTAGATTTTACCAATATTCATGAAACCCACATAAAGGACGTAATAAGAGATTTATGTGCTAGGATTCTTAGATAATTAGATTGGCCAATAGCTGGAAGACCTGCACTTATAGTGTAATGACACAAAAAAATGAACCAATTCATATCATGTTTCAAATTTAATTACCTTATCAAAGTCTATATTAATCGTCAGCATTTAAAGCTGAAACAAAACATACGGACATAGAGGGTCAAATTTACTAAATAGAAGATACCCGATGTGGATTAATAGAGTGAAAAAATTATAACCCTATGCATGAACAAACTTATTCTGTAAACACAATAGCAATATTAAAAGATGATCTAATATTAGAGATGAGAGACTCATCTTTGCTCAATGTACACTAAGGTTCAAGCTATTTAAGAAAATGCTAATTAATAAGAGTTTTCCCAAATAAATTTCTTAAACTTAAAGCTAAAATTGACATGTTTGAATGATGGAGATATATCATGCGAAGGGACTTGTCACTTATTGAAGTTTCGTGACAATTACAAGAGAGACCGATTATGTCATTCATATGTATTTTATCAATCTCTAGTTTACAAATTGGCACTGAATCATTGCGATAGCATTTCCATAAAAATCTATTCCATCTTTATTGTCATTCCAAGCACTTCGTTTCTCAGAAATAGAAGTCAGATGGTTGGAAGGAGAGGAAGAGAGAAATAAATAAAAAAATTATAACATATAAAATGAGTAATTAATTAGAAGGTAAAAAAGCCAAAACTTAAGGAGATATCACTTTAGTAATTAGGGTTTATTTATAATAAAAACATAACATTTATTTTGGATGCATGTAAATATGCTGATTATAGTATTTATTTAATGTTTTATGTCTGAAATCATGGTAAGAAAATTTATTTTGTACTTTTGATTGTAACATCAAAAGGATAATACAATTAGCTTAATGCATTCCTAATCATGCCCCTACTTCATGATATTAACATCATAGTTTTTTTTGATACAATGTGTTTTCAAATTATACCGTGAAATACGTTTAGGGGGTTGAATTTTAAAAATATTTAATCTAATGAGATTTTAAGATATATTTGTTCATTTTAGTCTTTTTATAATAGCTTTTGAAATTTGAGTGATCCCAATGTCTCCAAAAGAAGACTAATCACCAAATTGATTGTACCAATTTCAATTGTAACAAATTAACTCATTTCTACAATAATCAAGTTTCGAAACATATTTTTAAAATTCTAATTGAATTATAGAGGATCATACCATGTTAACACATGCTTGAGCAAATTTGATCCTCGAAAGAAGTCGACATCTTGTGCTCTGTTAAATTTTCTATTCTAATCCAAGTGGAGTTCTAGTTGAGCTTTTCTTTTGTAATTGTATGGTTTTGACTTAGTAGGTATTATGGTGAGTGGAAGAAAATGTATGAGCTAATTTACACTCAAGAGATGAAAGAGAAGTTATATAAAAATAAAAAGGATTGTTTGTTAGTTAATTTGGTTCATAGTTTATGCATTGATTCAAATTGAATTTTAAAAGTCTAGACTTTACATCTTGTTATTATAATTATTTGATTAACTTTGTCTTATACTATTTTGTGACTGATTAGGAAGAAATTCAGTCTTGAGCTGAAATTTTGGACTCATTAGCAGCCGGTGCTCAAAAGACCCAAAGCAATAAAGAATGAAGCGCGACATTCTCTAATTTTACATTAGGTAGTTTCTACAAAACTCTGGTCCTCCCATGGTTTAAACTTTGATGTCCCTCTAATACAGTTGTTTCAACTTTTTTGATAGAACAATCGCAAGCCCCCCAACATGCAACTAAGGTAGACCAAAAAAGTGAACATTGACATTCTAAAATTATAAATATAGACATAACCATTTGCATGTAGTATTAGATTATTAACTATCGATAATGATTTTATTCTTGATCAAATATTCTTAGGGAGAGTAGGAGGTGCATTTAATAAAGAGTTATGGATAATTATTTAAGGATTAATTATAACCAATGGTATAATTGTAAATTATCAAAATTTAAAAGGGCAAAATAGGAAATTAAAAGTTTTGATTGGGTATTCTCTTTTATAAGTAGTATAGATATAGATAATTATCATAAAATCAAAGTACATATTTCCCAGAGATGTCATTCTTATTTCAGGTACAGAAGGATGGTTAGGCTCTAACTCCTACAAGATGGCAAAAGATCGTCATAACCCATAAAGCTGACATAACCTAGAACTCTCCTATGTTTCTAGACAACTTCAAGCAGCAAATGTCTGTGCTAAAGCTTCTTATACATGTCAAATAATTAGGTTTTCGTAGTAAAATATCAATTTACATAATTAATTGAAAGTGCACAATTCTTTCCTTTGACCTGTCTAAGTAAAGACAAATGTTTTACTATTGAGTTTTATCTTTGGAATTAATGAAGAATGAGTTGCATTCAAAAAGCACAATTTCAGCAATGATAGCAAAAATTAAACAAAGACAATGTGAGGGAGATTAACACAATTGTAGACTGTGCCACAACCTTAGGCTCCCATCAAACGAACGATAATCCAAAAATGGAACTTAAATGACACAAATTACTGGAATAGGAATAATATAACAAGAGATTATCAACCACCATGTAAATGTGGCTATATAAAGTATAAACGAGGAAACTAAGACGGAAATGAGATGACGTTTTTGAAGGAAAAAATGAAGCTAGGTATGGGAAAGTTTATGCAAGAAGTCCTGCTTATGAGTATATTATGCAAAAAAGTCCGTGCAAAAATTATATGAATACTAGTAAATCAGCACAAAACTACATCTATCAGTAACTTTTTAAGGAGCCAGGAAAGAAATCTCACATTAGAACTCCGATCTGATATTCCATCAACATCAAAGAATAAAGCACCAGGTATGTGGGCAACCTAATAGAAACAGAATTGACAAACTTAATGTCATGAAAAATATAAAAGAAAAAGACAACCACTTCCACAAACATCAATACAGTCTAATGACAAGGGAATCTGAACTGTTATTATCCAATGTACATAACTAAATTATACTAAATAAGTTTGTCTAGTATATGCAATAGATGAACAGCTTGATCTTTTAAATTTGTAATTTTTGTTTTTGCAATATATAAGAAAGAAAATACCTCAAAAATTTTGAAGTAATGAATGGTTTTACCTGATATTCTTGAAATGGGTTCCTTTGTTCATTAGGCATGTACCAGGAAGCATCCAATATCTATAAATCAAAGGACGGAGTAAATACAACATTAAAAAAAAAACATCGCGGGAGAAATGAGATACTATAGCTAGAGCAAATGCATGAATATTCTACAGGTGATAAATGAAACTGAAATGATAGTTTGGAGATGCATACTTAAACTGAGAAACTTTATTTGAAGTGAACTTTGAACAAGAGTTATATAATGCCATTGCAATGGCAAGCAACATAATCGCTTCTAAGCCCATTATACACTTTCATTAACCTCACCTAAATCCAGAATATAAAATAGTAACTATGACATTAGATCAGATCCCCAGATTAAAATCATCTAACCTCTTCCCTTCTCATTAGATTCAGCACTTGCGTATCCAACAAGATAATTATGTTTCTTTTTTCCGCTTTCTAAGAGAGTACACCTGATCACTAAACTAGCTTTGCATTAGTTTGGAAAGGCAAACCGTCCTTCTCTTCTATCTTATGGCAATCGTCTGGCCAGCCAGCAGAGTGTGTAAAGCTTGTCTTGCTTTCCACAACTTCTCTTTTTTCCCCAAAAAATAATTTCACTCTCCTCTCTCTACTACGTGAGAAGTTCTCTATGAATGTCTTTGAACTATTCAAGGAATCATACTTGCCATTTCACCAGTTGCAAAACTTAACCGAAGTGGTGAATTAAGAGAAAATAATATTTCTTTTGACTAGTTATAAACAATAATAAGCCAATGAATTTTCAATCTGATTTCAAATCTCAAACTGATTACCTTCACATCAGGATCTCTAAGGTTAGAATGCAACCAATCACAAGAAACGACAGGCTCACTTCTTGATACCGACTCAATCGCAGACGTCGTCATGCTCGCAGCAGAAGAAGCACTCCCACAACAACGAACAAGAATACAAGTTTTCGGAGATGAAACCAAAGGAGAGAATCCAGCACGACGATAAAATTGTCCTCTCTGCAACAAAGAATCATAAAACTAGCATCAAAATAAATGAAATTAAACATAGATCGAAGAATTGGATAAAGATTGGACCTTTGAGAAGGAAGTGTGGGATCTTGAGTTTTGGGCGATCGAGAGCGAAGGCCGAAGCGATCGGAGACCAGTAATTGCTCGATTTATGAGGGCAGATGCCATCAAAATCAGGATCGAGAGATTTGGAAGAGAATCGAGGAGAAAGGTAGGGTTTTGATTCAATAGACGACAGTGAACACTTCGATCATGCTTACTGTATTGAGGATTAGACTTCAGGGATTCTTAAAACCCTCGGGAGAAAGAGAGGTTTTTTTATTCGGCGATAATAAGTAGATCATTTTTGGGTGTTTACCCTCGTAGAATCTTTATTTGCACCTACATTGATTATGTAAAACATGTTTTATTTGCTTTTCTAATGCGCCTACTAGGCTGAGTTTTTGTTTCGTTTTGTTACTTTTGCAACTTTATCAGTCACCTTAGCTACGTGTTGACATGTTTTCTTTGCCTCTCCAACATATTTTATCCTTGTTAGTTAACCCTCATTTACTTCCAACATATTTTATCCTTGTTAGTTAACCCTCATTTACTTGTTTTTTTTTCCTTGTGTAGCTGTAGTCTTTCTAGTTTACAATTACAACAGTTGGATATGTAACAAATATTTCATGTGACAAGTGATGCCTACGTGAAATTTACCTTAAGCTCACTATTTGAATATACTAGTTGAGATACACGTGCAATACACGTGGTTGAATATCATGATTATTTAAATTAATAAAAATAGAGTAAAAAAAAATTTTGTGGGATTGATCATCTACTCAATAATCTCTCTCTCAAATAAAATATTATCATTGTTTCCTTCAACCCAGACTATGACCATATGATCTACTATTTGTGAGTTATAAACACATTAATCTAGTACAATATCTCTATTTATTAGTTTCTTAAAGTCTTCAAAAGATGGGTGATCATTCAATTCGCAAAGGAATTTTGTATATGAATTTACTTGTAATATGTCTGTTAAACTTTTAGTTATAGTTTGACTCATACTCACGTTAACTTTTAGTTGTGATTTCACTCATATTTATGTTATAAAATATTCTCATTCAATTTTATAGCTCATTCTCTGTACCATAGAAGTAAAACTGAAAGTATGAAGAATTATTTTCTTGCGAAATTAAAGCAGAGAGATTTTGATATATTTCGCCATGAGCTCTAAATATAAAAAAATCTTTTTTCTTTAATGCAAGGTCCCTATCAAATCTTACCCCAAACGATGTGAATGAAAAATACAACTCATTTGCCTATGACAATTATATTGTATATAAGACATATAACTCATCTGAAATATCCACAGCTGCTAAGTGGATTTTGCTGTTGTGAGAATAACATGTTAGATGCCCGTATTTAAACTTTTTGGCTCTATAAAGACCCAAGAATTTGGAGTGCATAGCTTATATATCGTAAAGAACATATTGGTTCATAAATTTTTTTTCCTGATAACGATATTATTATAACGATATTATTATTCAGTACTGAATCAATTTTATTATATAAGATTATATGACCCTTTTTAATAAATTATAAAGTATATATATAGAAACATTAATGCTTATAGCCAGTAGGTGGTCTCCACAAAATAGGTTAACTTTACATTGTAGTTTGTTATTTGTAATACTGTTACAATGTCATTATCTTTCCTCCTTATCTTATTATTCACTCTTTTCTGATGTAAGTTCTCTTTTGTTAATCACTCAATTGGCTATATTTAGTTTTTATAATATCAAATATTAGAATATTTTCTTCTATTTTAAAAATGTTGACATTATTTTCTTAAAAAATATATACACATAGTAGCAACAGTATATACTTCAGTTTAACTCAAACATTAGCTTGAAACCATTTAGAGTGAGGTTCTGTCACGCCCCGCTTCCCAAAATACTAAGGAATCGGGACGCGAGCAAGCCCGCGACGTATTAGACTGAGGAGAGATACGTGCTAGACCCAGTCTTCTTAATCTAATACGCTAAGCATCTGGAAATAAATACAATGCAAATGCACATGTCCCCGATCACAAATAGCGAGAATATAATGAACAACACAGAACAGAAAATATACATATCACAACTGAATATCATCCCAGGCATAATATTCGGATTAACATGCCCTTATACAAGACTATCTGAAAGAAATGCTAGAAAATATAAAATACATCGATTAACAGAATGGAAGGTGCTACAAAAATAAATGAAGGACCAATAACTAAGCTTCGGCTTCTTCTGCTCGGTCTGCAGAGCACTCCTGTGGGGAATCCTCTGGCTCCTGTACGACTCCGAACTGAAGGTGACCATCATATAAATCTAACGTACACCAGAGAAAACAGGTGTACGTCAGCGTGTATGACACACGGCAAGATCCCAAAAGGAAGAATAGAACGGTCGTGCAACCAATGCAATAATGGTAATAACAATGTCCCAAAAGGAAGAATAGAACGGTCGTGCAACCAATGCAATAATGGTAATAACAATGGAAACATGCAACTAAAATACTAATAATCTAAATATAATTTACTACTAGAATAGAATAATCATAATAAATCCAAGAAAATCAACCAAGTAACAAGTTGATCATGCAGCTAGCGATCAGAATAATCATCCAAGTACAGGGTCATACACTAGCTGGAATTAATACTCAAAGATCTACAACTCGGGACGTAGTACGTCGAGCGAAATAATCCAAATAAGGAAATCCTCATGTATATACCATAGTCTCAAATTGTAGATAATTTAATATTAATCCCGATCTATGTATGAAAAGAAATATAACTGGTCTGTATCTCACAATAACTCATAATCATCCGAGTAACGATGTCATGTAACTAGTCATTCTATAACAGGTTGTTTGCGTCGAAAGTTAATGTATTCATTGCGGTATTCATTACAACTTCAATCGTTACAATGAAAACACAACAAAAAAAGATTGTCTTTTTTATCAAAAGACTTTTACACAATGAAAGAACAAAAGTTTAAGTTACAACTCTCGTCAAAACAAACGCAGAGATCGTTTATCGCGTTCTTCTGCTTGCGTGGGTATCTTTGCCTGTGCCGGGGTTTATCCGTGGACCGCGCTAGCATCTGATCCTTGATAAAATTTGAACAGACTCGCCTTCGCCGAGGAAGTATTTGCATTTGAAGCGCTGAAATCGACCAAGCCGAAATCAGGCTCTTCTCGAGATTAAGAACAAGCCTATCTCAAGGGACGAGGGAGATGGGAGCGTCGGACTCTCGAACTCTCCTTCGTTAGCCGAAACATCGCGAAGATCTGTTAACCCTCGCTGAAATTCGTGCTCCTTGACTTCCACAATCCGGCAGCACCTCCTCTCTTGATAATCATCGCCCCTGTTGAAAGAAGCGCCCTAGGCTTGATTATAGGGCTTCAGAAGTGGTTTATTTGGATGAGAACAAGTGATTTGGCTCTATTCTCAGTTGGACAACAGACCTAACCACGTTTGGGGATGATCTCAAGCCAGTTAAGAACCTCTGGAACTGAAAAGATTCGCGAGAAACCGTTAAAGACATCGAAATACGCATCAGGGGTCAAAACAGCGCGGCGCAGACTTGGTCTGACCCGCGCTTGCGCGGGTTCGGATCAGGTCCGACCCGCCGCCTGTCGCGGCTCGGAAAATCCGACCCGCGTAGCGCGTGGTCGGACAAATCCGCCCGCAACTTGCCGCGGTCGGATCAGTCCGACCGCGCTTTAGCGGCGGTCGCGACAAATCCGACCGCGCGCTTGCCGCGGGTCGAGACAACCATGACGCCGCGCTTGCGCGGGTCGGTATGATCCGTCCGCGCCGCGCGGGTCGCGTTTGTTCCGCCCGCGCTCGCGCAGCGTCAGTTGTTCTGTCCTGCGCCTGGCAGGGTTTGTTGATTTTTTTCTTCTTTTCCGTTCTCTTTCTTCGAGACGTGCCTTTCGCGATGTTGTAGGTTCGCTCTCGCTTGATTTATATGCTTTGAGTTGATTGACGTCGTGCCGTGTTGATTGACAGCGTGGCGTGTTGATTGACGCATGCGAGCTGACTTGGCAGGCTGCGGAGGCTGACTGTCGAAGCGCGCAAGGTCACTTTGATCGCACGTTTTGCTTCACGCGCTTATCGGCGTTAAGATAATCCTCTTAGACTCGGATACCAATCGTTGCGTCGTCTTTCTCTGTCTCGAGTTGTTCGTGTGGACTATAGGCATTTTTACGGCCTACAGATAGCCCCCTCCAAAGTAATTTCCAGATCATCTTTATTTGAGGAGTCTGGATATGCTTTGGAATAAGACTTAGGCCATCTGCCTCAATTTCGTTAGAGTGACCTTGAACTATCTCAATTCTTAAACCTTCTTCAAGTCTTCCTCTATTTCATTGTTTGTCGAATAGGTGAAAGTTCTTATCCGGGCCTGCGTTTATCGATCTGGGGAAAACCGCTGTCGAAATTTGAACTGAATTGGTGGCGTAAACTTTTTGAACTAGCTCGTTGCATTGAGTTGGCTTTGAACCTGATCCTTCTTCGTCGGAATTCATATCTGATCTGTAACTGAAACCTTGGAGTCATCTTTTGCTATTTTTGGCGAAATGCTGATGCGTTGGACGCGGCATCGATCTTTACTGTCAACGCGGTTGACCGGCGTTAACACAGTTATTATACGTCTTTGCTGGAGTCTACACAAGTTAAGCTCTTAAGGCATTAGAGCGGACGGTCCAGTCGGCAGACAGTCGGTGCTGCAAGCGACACTATTAAAGCTGATTCAATCTCACGTGTGGATCTTTCCTTAAGTTGTTGGATGTCAAGCATGAGCACAACTAATGAAGCGTGATACGTCATGACATCGCATTTATAGAATTCTTGGCAAATTCTCAGCCAATCCGGCGTGTTTGGATTAAGCCATGTTACCGACTACCGTTTGAGTCGCGGCTGCCATGACAGATGTTATTAGTCCTGTTCGCATGGTAACGTTATGCCTAAAAGAGTTAACTTTTTTAAGTGCTACGATATTGATACGTAGGACTTTTCTTTCTGCCTGTGAAAAGACTAAAATCAGCACGTGTATCAGACGTAGATTTAAGGTTTTTGGGCAAACCCTCATGCTTCAACGGATTTGGCGTGCCTTTTAACGATTACCGTTTGAATCGGGTCTTGCATCTGGATTGTTTTAAGTCCGTCGCATGGTGACGGTTGTGCTAAAAGAATGAACTCCCTTAGACTGTGCTACGAATATTGACATACGTAGACTTCGCATTGCTTACGGAATAGTTACCCGGCAACGTGTGTTAGACG